GCTATCTGCACCATGGGCTCAAGTGCTACAGGCACATCTGGGCCTCCGTCCCATGATCCTGATCCAGATCCTGTCGCAAAGCGTCTCGTCACCACCATACTGAAAATATACCCAAGACGTCAGATAAGTAACATAATATCGAGAGACCAATTCCTACAAACCCTAAGGGTTGTGACTTCCTTGCTACGCGTATGGGTCCTTTGCTTTCAGTAGTACGGGCCCATACTACCTTGCACACCTACCCATATTTGTCTCAAGTATCACCACAATGCCCTAACAATAGACATAAACATAGCGAGAACTCCACCTTCACTTCTAGAGGAATGTTAAACTATCTCATAACTGGCCTTACCACTTCTCACGACCCACTCATCCATGAAACTTCCGCCAACCTTGCAGCACTAGTGTATGCTTGCCACACATAACGCTGGACCCGATAGACCTTCGAATATTCAATCCAACCCTAAGGTGAAATCAAACATTCTCAGGCTATAAGATCTAATTATGCACAGCCGTGATGCATACACAAGACAACTACAGTAATGATGTCAATCCCATATAAAAGAAATCCTAGGCTAGTAGGCATCATATAATCAGGCAAGTCCATCATGCAATTCCTGAAAATCCCTAGCCTAGCACTAGCATGCTGTTCTAACATATCATAATATCAAATAGCTGCATGGTATTTTGGGGTCTACTTACATGCTCCGGCTGATCGTACACTTCGCAACCTCCATCCTTCATTTTGAAAACTATTTTAGAATTTATTCTGAAAATTTCCTTGATTTGAGACTGGATTCACACGAGTATTCCTCCGATTCACTCAAACCAAGGCGCTGATACCAACTTGTAACATCCAAAAATTTTAAGCCAAATTTAAACTTTTTTCAACATAAAAACCAAATACTATTTTTACTAAATGTTTTCAAAATATTATTAATCAGAGTGTCCCAGTAACAAAATCATAAGGATGAGGAGCAATACAGTCATGCCTTTTCCTTGCCACGATCTCCTGATGTACCTGAAACAATAAACTAAAACTGTAAGCCCGAGGGCTTAGTGAGCTACCCCCAAAATACCAATACCACACCGATAATACCATATCAATAACAATTAATAACTGAAACTATAAGCCCGAGGGCATACTGGTCCTTCAGCTTGACTGGACTACGGTATGACTGGACCACCACGTGGGTCCCACAGTCTATCCAGACCGCTCGCTGGGTATGGTGGCCTTCAACAGAAAGCAGGACCGCCTCAACCCATCCATCATTAAATAACCATGTGCACATAAGTAACATATACTGGCATATATAGATATCAGATATAATTATCTCACAGATCATCAGTCATAGAAACCTCTCATAACCAGAATACCGAGCTAACCAGGTCACTAACATACCAATCCTAATGGATCATAAGATCACAACAACATAATATCTATCCTAATACCGATCTAACAGATCATAATCACATGTAGCATACTATAACCAGGATAACAACTAAAAGACCCGGCCTTGGTGCCTTAGACCCTTTTGATTTAGTGAGGATAACTTACCTCGCTAGTAGCTCGGGATGATACTGTCCACTCCTCCAGATATAGCTCCAACCACCTCGCATGTACCCATAAGTGGTACACTCAATAATTACTCAAATTAACAAAATGCCCTTGGGGAGGCACAAGACACTCCCCGGTCGAAGTCAAAGCTACTTGGTCCATAGTCAACAGTCTATGCCGACTTAGTTGCTGAGTACAATTTTCCCTTTCATCAAGCCCCTTTTGGTCCAAGAATTCCCGACTCACCTCACCGAGTTCCTAACAGACTCGTTGAGTCGATACGTGACTTAGTGTTTGGAAACCCCACTGACTCGTTGGGTCATCTCCTAGACCTCGCCGAGTCCAAGCGGGACCAATTTGGACAAAACCCTCCTCGACTCGCCAATTCATCTCCGACACTCGCCGAGTTCATACGAAAATTCCCATAATCAAGCGATTCTGAACTATCTCTTCGTTCCAAACAATAGATCTAGGTCCCTAGAGTGCATTAGCAATGTAAAGTTCCAAACAATGGAACTTTACTCATAAGCATGGGTTCCTTCATGACCACAATAAGAACTTTATGAACATAGGGCTCAAAGGAGGTTCAGGTCTGAAGTTTCAACTTCAGATCTAGCTCCCACACCATAATCCCTTCATGAATAGCTAAAGAAATCCATAATCTTTACATATGAAAGATTCTATAAGAAAATAGATCAAGGTAACATCTTGTTACCTCTAAAACGTGCCCGAACTGAAGTAGACTTTGGATCCACACGAATTCCTTGATGTTAGCCTCTTGATCTACAAGTTTCCTCCACAATATCACTTTCCAAAGCTCCAAAACACTCACAAGGCTCACACACACGGAAATTTAGGGTGTTTGGCTCTCAAGGGAGATAGAGGATAGTGGGAGGTGCTAATGGTCCAATATATATGGTGCGAAAACCCTGAAATTTAGGGTTTCCCCTGCCAGCTCCTACTTTTCGAGTCCTCTTCCCGACCCGGCGAGTCAAGCATTAAAAGACGTGTCTCATCCCGCTGATACTCGATGAGTCATAGTGTCGACTCGTCGAGTGGGACTTAAAACATGAAATCTAAATTGGATATTAATGATACCTGACAGTTAGGATGTTACAATCAAAGAGCATGTGCGGTGGATCACAAGTGATGGGCTTCATGTGCATTATCTTGGCCGCTTAATCCAAACGAACTAATATCTTTGCTAGCTCAAGAAATTAAAAAAGAACTTATCAAGAAGATAAAGGAAGCAAAGTACTACTCAATCATACTTGATTGTACTCCCGATTCAAGTCACCAGGAACAGATGACTATAATAGTGAGGTATTTAACGTTATCATATAATTATGTTACTGTCGAGGAGTCCTTTTTAGGTTTTTTGAATGTTGATGATACCTCTGGAAACGGACTATTTGATATTACACTTGAGGAGTTAAAGTCTCTTGGTCTTGAAATTGATGATATGCGTGGTCAAGGCTATGTTAATGGAGTAAATATGAAAGGAAAACACCAAGGAGTGCAAAGGAGATTTTTAGATATAAATCTTAGAGCATTTTACACTCCTTGTGGTTGCCATTCTCTTAATCTAACATTATGTGATATGGTTAACAAGTGTATTAAAGGAAAGAAATTTTTTGGATTCATCTAACGCATTTATACCATCTTTGCAAATTCTAATAAGAGGTGGGAAATTTTGAAAGATAATGTTAAAGCTTGGAGTCTTAAGTCATTGTGTCAAACTCGTTGGGAAAGCCAGGTTGAGAGTGTAAAGGCTATTAAACTTCAACTTGTAGATATATGGGAAGCTTTACTTCACGTTGCAGAAAAAGATAATGATGCGGTAATTGCAAGTGAAGCAACTTCACTAGCAGAAAAAGAACTTGGTGACTTTGAATTTTGGTATCAACTGTTATTTTGTATGAAGTACTAAACCATGTGAACATTGTGAGTAAGAAGTTACAATAAAAGGATATGAATCTTGATAATGTTATTACATAAATAAACAAATTGATTGGGTACTTCAAAGATTATAGAGAAACTGGTTTTTTAAAAGCGATTGTTGAAGCTAAGGAGATTGCTATTGAAATGGGTATTGATACAATATTTCCAAAAAAGCGTTTGATTGAAAGGAAAAAAAAATGTTTGATGAGAGTTCAACTAGCGAAGAAGTTTCATTTACACCTGAAGAGAATTTTAGAGTTAATTATTTCTTATTCATTGTTGATCAAGCTATTTCTTCTCTTGAGACAAGATTTGAACAATTCAAAGAGTATGACTAAGTATTTGGTTTTTTATTTCCACATAATTCGAGGGGAATTGAAGATAAAGATCTTAAGTCGTATTGTCATCGTCTTAAAAAAACACTCAAGTTTGAAGAAAGATCGGATATTGATACTGAGGAACTTTATACGGAGTTGAAATTATTTGAGACATTGGAAACCAATGAATTTAGCAACCCTATAGATGTTTTGAAGTTTTTGAAAGAACTTGATTATTTCCGAAATGCAAGCATTGCATATAGAATATTGTTGACTATTCCAGTAACGGTTGCATTTGTAGAAAGGAGTTTTTCAAAATTGAAGTTTGTGAAATCTTACTTACGCTCCACAATGACGCAAGAAAGACTTAGCAGTTTGGCAATGATATTTATCGAGAACGAAATCTTAGAGAGTATAGACTATGAAGAGTTGATCAACCAATTTGCAATCAAGAATGCTAGGAGAGCTTCACGGATCGTCGGTTAGCTGTTAGGATATATAATTACTCATTAAAATACTATGATTTTGCTTTATTTATTGCTATAAAGTTTATCGTCATTGTAATAAAAAAAATAGTTTATGTAATTTCATTCGTTACACGTTAAGGTCTAAGGGCCTTTTTTATCCATCTCGTCCTGGGCATTTAAATCCTCAGAACCAGCCCTTCTCGTTAAAATAGACATTAAATCATATTTATCGTTTATATCATAAATATGGTTTCAACTTTCAACCCAACATTTGATATTTATGTTCTCAAATTTTTAAATATTGCAAATTATGGTCATTATATTTTTTCATAAAAATCCGATTTTGGAACTGATTTTTTTATATTAAATTGGACACTTATTTAATCAGTTTGTTTCTGATTATTTAACTAGCCAACCCTCATTATAGTGTTCACACTCGTTGCTTCCTCCAGCTCATGGACACGTCGTCATCGTGATGAGTATACCGTTCGGCCTTTAATGTTTAGACTCCATCTTAGGATATTGGGCTTATACAAACTTCCTATATTTCCATCTTGATTCAACATTAAAATTAACAAACATTTTCAGGTCGATATGGGATCTAAAAGACGACAAAAAGAAGTGACCATCACCTTCTAGACGATATGGTACGCATTGCATGTGGTACAAAGTTATCTGGATTGACAATGCATTAAACATATTAGATTTTAATGGATTGACACATCATCATTTTTACTTACTATACAAATCTACATTAATTTTCCTACAATGCATTGAACTCAATAGAGTTCAATGAAATATATAATTAATAATTAAAGGTTTCCTTTTCCAATTGAAGAGTTCAATGGCAATTGAAGAGTTCAATGGCCATTGAACTTCATATCCATTAAAGGCCAACATGACATCCCACAATGGTAGAGTTTGATCCATTGAATGTCAATTAGACATGTCATCTCATTCAACTCTCTGATTGAACTATGCATGATTGAACTATGCATTGCTGATGCTCTCATGCCACTTGTGTAAGTTGAAGATAGCTAGCCAAATTTGATTTTTTTTTTCTACTCCTAAACTTGTGAACAATCTTGACAAATATAATGATAGAATCTTTTCCTCTGAGATTTGAAGAACATTTCGGAGATCTGTATAAAAAATTATTATGGACATACTCATACATATAACTTTAAGTAAAAGCAGTCAAAAAGGGTGGAAATGATTTTCAATATTATTTTCTGATCTAAACTAGGGATTCAGATTATCAGATACATTATTTGATGTAGTACAACCTCTAGTACTACTAGCAACATTCGGCCCTTCCCATTTTAGTCATTCCACAACAACCCTTCTTACAAAGCTCCCACCTGGTGTTGAACCGCATGGTTTTGGTTTTGGTTTTGGTGATTCACCACTTCCACTTCCACTTCCACTTCCACACCCGCCGGGTCCATCTCCTTGTTGTATAGGGTCATAATCACAATTTTGTAGCTGCATACATCAATTTCAAATATTTTTTTAGGGATGGACAAGTTGTATATGCACTCTTATATAATACTATAATTAAGGTAGTTTGATCAGAAAATCTGGAAATCGGTTATGAATGAATTGCAAATTAGCGATAGACAATTGATAGTAAATACACGAATGAAATAATTATAGAAAACAAAATCAGAAGACTATAACCCTACAACTTCAAAAGTAAGGTGAAAAGAAACTGTTTTCTTAAATGAATAAATAAATAAATAAAAATAAAAAAAATAACTACACGTATTTACAATGCAACCTTAGTTAATTTATAAGAGATGCTGGAGCAGCTTATAACTGCGAGAGGTTTAGAGATAACCGAACCTAATTGGCCGCCATGATTGTATGGAGTCCGAGCAGTGGCGGTTGTAATGACGTGAGATGATGAACTAATGACGATGAGGATTATAAGAGCCAAGGTAAGTCTTCCTCCTTTTTAAGATTATGGCCATTTTTTTCAATGATTGAATGAATATGAATGTGTGAGTAACCATTTATATATGAATGATCTATTTATACACGATCATTCCCCCATGGTTTGTTCAAACATTGACCAATTGTTTTAGTCAACGATATAGTCCGAGTAAAGGAAATTGTTAAGAAAAGAGTGTGGCGCGCAGTTGTTAGCCATAGCCACCTAAAAAATCCCACCTTCTTGCTCATTTCTTGAACTTTGTCTATGCAGTTTTGTCTTGACTTCCAAAATATCAGATTGCATTTTTACTTATCATATCTTTTAAATAATTATTTTATTAGCAGATTGCAAAATTAAATACTAATTTTTGGAAACGACAAATGATCAGATGCCTACTCGCATATTTCAACGAGCACCCTGGTTCGAATTTCTTTATAGGAAAAAATTAAATACTAATAATTAATTAATTGTGGTTTGTAAAAGTTAATTATAAATAATTAATAGTTAATTTTACTTTTCTTAATAGATTAACATTATATATACATTTTTTATTTTAATTATTACTTCCAACTAATGATTCTTATTTATTAATCATTATATTAATAAAATTATTAAATTATTAGTTGCAATTTATATTTAATATTTAAATATTTTGTTTTAATTTTTTTAGTAAACTGTTCAAATCTTTTACATTATTATTTTATTACTTCCGATTTTTTTTTTACGTCTCATATTAAATTTTTTTCCTCAGATTCATAGATTGGCATAATAATGGGCACATGCAACCTTTTGGTTCTTGCTTTTACATTTGGATTATATGTTAATAAAGATGGATAATAATATAGAAGTCTTTAGGTTTTCACGAAATTTTTGGTTTTACTTTTGATGTATTTTCGGTTCAGTAAAATCGAAAGTATTGTTTAAGTTTTTCCTTTATACCCCTCTTGGTTAATAGGGCTAATGTATAAAAGTCCTTGAGTTTGCAGGAAATCTTTGGTTTGAGTTTGCAGGAAATCTTTGGTTTTACCCTTTAACATATTTTAGATCGAGTAAAACGGAAAGTTTTGTTTAATTTTTTTGTTTATAGCTTTTTAGCAGGTTTTAATTTGTCCGTTATAAGTTGCTTGCATGCATGGCAAACCACTTACAGGCATGGCAAACCACGTCTACGCTAACTATGTCTCTGACATGGTAGCTTTTTAAGCTTGTTTAAAAAATACACTCTTGGGGATTACATGATTCGTACGACCTACATCTATGTATCAAGGGCAACACCTTTATCATTACATTGACTTTAATTTGGTGTCTCTAATGCTGAAAACTTGTATATATTATATGAAAGGTTGGAACTTTTTGTTATTGTTAGAGAGATAGAGAAAGAGAGAGCTAGGTTCAAATATGGATTGACATTTAATATGTATTATGCGGATGTAAAAAAAAATATATGTTGTTTGATAATATGAATACATTCAATCTTACATAACTATTGTCATTAACATACATTCTCACCAATTAAATCGTCTATAAGTTTATTATAGACTTTTTATTATTATTCTAATTCTGTCAGAATGTTTATTTAGTCGTATTGGTATTGCTAAACAACTTATTCTCTTAATAATTCTCATAGAATAGCATTGTCCACACGTCCGTACAATAATTGTCCATCCACATTATAACCTAACCCATATATAAATATAAATATAAATATAAATATATATATATATATATATATATATATATATATATATATATATATATATATATATATATATATATATATATATATATATGTATGTATGTATTATAAATGTGGAATGTCTTATGAAAAATTATGTTTGGTTGGTGATACTTTTGGTACAAATTTTCTTTTATTTTGACGTATGTAGTCCCTTCTTTTGTATTGTTCCCGTCTTTTTGTTTCCCTGCTCACTACAAAAAATTTGATCTTTAGTGGCAACGGGTGTCGCCGCTAAAAGTCCAACATGTCATCGCTAAAGGTATTAGCGGCAACATATCGCCGCTAAAGGATCGTTGCTTTTGCTTCGTCGCTATTGCTTTCCGTCACCGCTAAAGATGCATTGCCGTTAACGCTCTCCGTCGCCACAAAAGGCGTCACTGTTATTTATATGTATTTCTATTCATACAAATACACATATACATACATAATACACATACAAAATGCACATATAAATACGAAAATAGATACACATACATATACATAAGAATACATATATAAATAGAATTGCAGATACAAAAACACATATACATACACAAAATACATTCAAAATACACATATACATACAAATACACATCCATATCAACAAATAGAAAGTACACATACAAATACATTGAAAATAAACATATACATACAAATACACATCCATATCCAAGCCGATGTGGGATCAGGTGTCACAACCAAGAAATTTGATGTTTTGTAACAAAAACAATTATACTAACCTTTGTGAACCGAAAATGTGAAAGCATGTATGATGCTTATTCAATAACAACAAACTTCAATCAAACACTTCATACAAGCACTTCAAATAGTCAACAAAGAATTGGAAACCCTAGAAATCCCGGTTTAAGTCCATTTTGGACTAGGATTTCCTTATTGGGCCGAATGGGCCAATAAGCTTCCAATTTGACTATCTTGGGCTTAGAACTCTTAAATGGGCTCTAATTGGACCCACTTCCATTTATTTTAATATCTTGTGCCATATTAGGCCTAGAATGAAATAAAATACCTTAATGGACCTTTTTGGGCCATAACTAACCTAATTAGCCCTAATGGGCCATAAAAATCATTTCTTGATTTATTTTGGGCCAAAAACTATCTAATTGAATCGTAATATAGGCTTAAGCATACAAGGCCCAAATCTTCTTCTCTCTTTTCTCTTTTCTCGGCCCAAGAAGAAAAAAAAACTAGTGAAATAAGGAGGGTTAGCCACCTCCTAATTTCCTTGTGGATTCCTATGCATCATCCCATACATACATGCAACTCTATCTCTCTCTTCTTCTTCTCTTCATAATACTCTCGGCCAAGGGGAAAACACACACACACACACTCACAAAATTCCTCCCAACTCTTTCCAAATCCTCTCAAGAACACTTGCAATCATTCTTTAAAAATTTCAAGACTTAGAGCTTTTCAAGGAGTTTCTTCCATAAAAACCATCATTCAAGGTAAGTTGGTACTTGAATCCACGATCTAACTACATCATTTCATCAAAAATGTCTTCTAAATCTATTCAAACTCGTGATTTTGCATCTTAGAACACATCTAAGCCAAAGATCCTCCAAGAAGCTTACTAGGCCGAGATTTTGCATCAAACGTCTTCCATTCTTCTTCAAAACCGAAACCACAAACTCAAGGTGAGCTTCATACCCCTCTCTTTTCGGTTTTCATAAGTTTTATGGGGGAGAATACAAGCAAAATGTGTAGATCTATGTGTATGTGTGTGCTATGTATGATTTTATGCATGTATGTGTGATTTTATGTGTTTTTGTGATGAATATGTAATCAAAAGGGAAGATATTTCGAGATTCATACCATAAGAAGGAAAAAAAACATGATCTAAGTTATATTATACTAAACAAGTCAAGAATAATAACTCATAAGATTGTGATAAACATATTTCAACATAAAACCCATTTTTGGGCTTAAATTGTCAAATAACAAAAGTTGGGAAAAAAATTGTCATTTACGGTTTCTTAAGGGTCAAAGGAATCAAAAAAATTATAATAAATGATTTTATGAATATTATTCACTTTAAAGGACTTAAAATGTAAATATTAGCTTAATGGGCCAATTTTTGGGCTTTTCGGCCCAACAAGCCCAAAGTTACGAAAATTCCAAATTTTAAGGGGATAAAATGAAAGTTTTATCAAAAAAGAGGATAAAAAGGGTAAAAAAAATCATTTCAGGGGTTAAAATGCTTTTATTTACCAAAAAGGATAAAAAAAATGTTAAGTTTTTGGATTTTGGGCCAAAATTGTAAAAGTGGCAAAAGTTTGGGTTTTAAACCGAAAAACACTTTTCTGGAAGGACTGAAGCTGCCAAAGAATAAACTTTGAGCTAAAAACATCATTTGAACAAGTTTATGATGCAAAAGTGTCAAGAAAAGGTCTTAAGCGTTTAAAATGTCTTTTCTTTCATATAAAGGACTAAAATTGTTGTCTTTACAAAAAGAAAGGGGCTGAAAAGGTTAAACCACTATTTTTAAACCAATTGTTTTATTTCTAGAATATTGAGTCAATAATGCAAAACTACGACGTACAAAAATGGAAAGACGAATACACGCATAACTCCAAGCATCGTTATAAACAAATCGATCGGTCTCGAGTCGATACCAAAAAAATAACAATCGTTCAATCAAACCCACCAACAATCGTACAATGCCTAAGACAAGTAAACATTCCAAAAACCTTGTGCAGAAAGTCTCAAATCATGCTTGTTGGATCTTGAAGTCCATTAACATGATCTTTGGGCCCAAGGGGATAATGATTATATGTTATTGGGCCTTCTATGACCCAATTCCATATAAAGGGACCTTCAATGGCTTTTAAGTGCTATTGGGCCCTAGGGACCCATTAGTATTGCTAGTAAGGTCTAAGTAATCAAATGCGAGATGGGCCAACGTGTCTTTTGCATCACCGGCAACCTAAAGTAAACTCACGGAAGTAGCAGGACTTTGTACTCCTCTTTTCCTCGTGTGCTAGTCTTATGAGTAATCAAAGTAAACAGATTCAGGTTGATAATTGATAGTAATCAAGGTGGTTTGGATTTAAGTGAGTGATAATGGACGACACCTCTAAGGATCATTCGTAGTCTGGAGTTATAACTAGTCATCGTCATGAGTGGTTATAACAATTCACAACCATTAATTAATCCAAAACCATCCGAGTAATCAAGGAAGAGTAATCAAAAATCATTCATTGTGGCGGTATATCAATTTGAGAAATCACTGTATTTTATGTATTTGGAAAACATCGGGTTTTCCTGGGAAGTTCAACATTTTCACTTGTACGCTTAATACTAAGTCCTACAATTATACATGTTTTTGAAATCATTGTGCATATATGTATGGATCTTCACACTTTTTTTTACAAACAATGGTCTTTTCAGAAAATATCAGATTTTCTGGGTTGTTCTTGTTCAAACTACATAAAACATTTTTTTCACATCAAACATACTTATGAACTCACCGACATTCCATATGTTGACCGTTTTTCAAAATAACTTGTATTCTCAGGTAACAGGTAAGCTGAGGAATAAGTACCAAGTATGTTAGTGTGTTTTGCTTATCAAAACTATCAAACAATTTATGTATGAATTTGTAATGTTAAAACAATGTACTTGATGTGAACAATGTCGGTTGTAATATATTGATGCATGGTGATGTTTATGTTATGATTCATGTATATTCATTGTGATGATAATCAATTTAAGTCCCACGAGCCCTTGGACGTTTCCGCCGTCTGGTTCGGGGGTGTGACATCAGTTGCAACCCATCTATACCCCATTATAGGGTTCGACATCCCCGTCGAACATATCGCCCCGTGCCCCAGCTCTGATACCATTTGTAACATCCCCCTCTGGCATGTATCACAATATTGTCCGCTTTGGGCCACTCGACATGAGGACTTCCCACGGGGTCACTCGTCCCGGTACTCCTCCCGCCTGAGCACGCTTAACTGTAGAGTTCTTAAAATTACCTATGCAATAAACAAGGATCTAGTCTCAATCTACCATTCAAACTACCCCCAATAGACTAAAGCCAAACATGGTCAAAGTCAAATATGGTTAAAGTCAACGGTCAATGGTCAATGGTCAAAAGTCAAGGTCCACATTAGACCGAGTACGCTGCGTACTCCATCTCTAAGCATGGCATAGAGTCACATCCCTGAATACAAGGTTCAATCAAGTTACACGTTATGTACCCTTAAGCATGCCTTACGTACCCAAACTTACGCCATGTGTAAGTCATTAAACCCCATCTCCAAGTTTTTCATCTACGCTGCACGTAGAAAGCCATCTACGCCTTGTGTAGATTAAAAGTCCACACTTAGACTTGATAGTTAAACAAATGGATTAACCATCAAGGACAACGTGTTACAAGCTCAAAGTAAGATCAATTTTGAGTGCTTGTAATAGCTCTAGAAAGTTTAAAAAAAAACTCCTCTCTCTCTCTCTTTATCTCTCTCTCTCTCTCTTAAATTTCACCAAAGCTTGTTTGGTATTTGTCTGAAGTTGTTAACTAGTTTTGTTGTCGCCCAACAATACCCTCCTATTTTTATTTTTAATCAAACTGAACTGCTAAAACCCAAAGGAGTAAACAAAAACGACTATTTGTTAAAAGTTTTGAAACCATATGGACCATATGTGAGGTTTTCGAAATTAGAAACTATATCCTAGATTTCGGGAAACCACAGGGACCATTTATGAGGTTTTTTTTATTAATAATAATAATAATAATAATAATAATAATAATAATAATAATAATAATACACTACAAGAATAATGGGCATTAGCGGCGACAGCCACCTTTAGCGGCGACACATAACTTTCGCGTCATGTGTCGCCGCTAAAAGGTGGCTGTCGCCGCTAATGCCTATTGACCCCGATTCGCGTCGAAATATGAGGTGAAACCCTAGCCGTTGATTTTTTCTCTAATCCAAGGACTGAAAATCAATATCGTACATACCAATACCGGCGACACCAATAGCGGCGACGGTGTCGCCGCTAATACTTGAAAATTTTGACCGCCAAAGTTTCCCCCCAAAGTTGTCGCCGATAATACTCAAAAATTTTGACCATCAAAATTCCCCCCAAAGGTGTCGCCGCTAATACTCTATATGTCGCCGCTAATACTCTTCGCAGATATAACCCCCTTCAGCTCCTTCTTTATCACCACCATGCTTCTCTGCCGGATTACACACTACGACATGCTTTCTATATGTTTATTTTAAATTTTGTATGTAGAATGTGTATTTTATATATGTATGTGTATTTATATGTGTTTATTGTATGCATTTGTGTATTAGTATGCATATATATACATATATATGTGTATATATACGTATATGTGTGTTTTCATATGTGTATTATGTATGTATTTGTGTATTAGTATGTGTATCATGAATGTATATGTGTGTTTGTATATGTATGTATATGTTTTTGTATGTGTATTATGTATGTATTTGTGTATGTATGGATGTGATTTTGGTTATATGTTTTTATAACGATTTTATATTTTTATAACAGTTTTTATAATTTTATATTGTTTGTTTTGTATATAGAAAGAAGACAAAATTAAAAAAATGGTCCCTGTGGTTTGTCAAAAGTAACAAACTTAGTCCCTATCTATTTTTTTGATGCATTTGGCCATTGTGGTTTGTAAAAGTTGCATTGGAGGTCCTTTTTCATAACACTGTCAATTTTAGCCGTTTGGGGTCATTAAGTTGGGGGTATATTCGTCTTTTTACGTTTGCTTCTCCACCCCCTTTAATAAGCCCTAACCAACGTTCACAAAAATCAAGCTAGCATCTCTGAAATATCGAAGCTCTCCTCTCTTGCAAGAATGGTGATTTGTACGTGTGGAAGTGTTGCTGTGAGAGTCACATCTTGGACGGACCTCAACCCAGGAAGGCGATTCTGGTCTTGTGCTCGAAATGGTCGAAGCTGTCCATTTCTTGGGTGGGTGGATGATCTGATGTGCCATAGAGCTGTGGATGTGATTCCTGGCTTGCTGAGGAGAATGAACAATGTTCAAATGATGTTGATTCAAGCTCGTGCAGATGTTGTGAAGCTCAAGTGGATGCTTATTCTGTCTTGGTTCTTTTTTTTTCGTTTATATACATATGCACTAAGTAGTAGTTGGATTTGGGGATGTATTTGGTCAGTGTATTTTGGATATGTAATGTCGGATGGTGTGTAGAACTGGAATGGGATATTACCAGTTAATTTTGGGATGGGATGTCATGTATTAGAATGTTAATGTAATGTATGGTTTTAGTTAATCAGTTTAATGGCATTTTGTCTTATGTTAATTATAAAGCATTGTTTTTTTTATTATTGATTAGGAATATTGGAATGGAATGGAAAGAGTTGCGTCCATTTATCAAAGATTGGAATGGAATGAGTTGTGTCCATTTATCAAAGATTGGAATGGAATGAGAAAAATACAAAATCAAAACCCTATAAGTAAACAATGGAATGGAATGTGTTTTGGTCATTTATCAAACAATGGAATGGAATGAGTTTTGGACATTATCAAACAATGAAATGGAATGAGTTTTGGTCATTATTAAACAATGGAATGGAATGAGAAACACACCATATCAAAACATGATAACTGAGATCATTATAACCAGAAATGTAGCATGACATATGGCTAGTATCAACTTAATTACATCACTAATTTAGGTAGTTGCAAAAATATGTAATTATCTAGATTAAACATGTTTTAACAAAAGCATCAACACAAGTTTATAATCTTAAACAAAAGGTAGCCAAATAACTTGATTAGTCATGCTTTCATTTGTATCCAACTTCACTTAGGTCCTACTTGAGGCTTTTTTCCCCTTGTCTATCTTCTTTGCTCTTAACCCACCCATGAAATCTTCACTTGATCCATCCACTGAACCTTGACTTGTTACACCAAATGCATCTTTATTTGATCCACCCACACCACCTTGACTTGATCCACCCACTGCTCTCTGACATGACCCCCCTTGCCCCTTACATGTTCTAGAGTTATGTCCTTTGTTATGACACTTGGAACAAGTAACAGTCAAGAATTTCCTAGATAGGTTTTTTGACTGGTTACTAGCCATATCTATAGCCCTCCTCCTTTTTTTCTTTGGCCTTCCAACCTACAAAAATATTAAGGAAATGTTAAAACTGGATGAATAATAAACTATGTTAACTAACATTCAACTTACTTGTGTGTGATGTGTAGGTGGTATAAGAGTGGTTGGACATCTAGATTTTGGCCACATGCTCCTGCCATTGATTGGATCTATTTTGTTACAGTACATTGCCCTCCATGTTTCTAGCTTATAACAAGGATGCACCCAATATTCAGGTTGTTGGGCTTTTTCACCATTTTGAATATGTTCCCATATTGCACAAACTCCATGCCTGCAGACTATCCCTGTTATCTCCCAATACCTACAACTACATGTACCCTCTTTCAAGTTGACCACATACTGATCAAACATCATACCAGTCACTTGATATTTTCCAGAACCACAAAAGAGTGCCCTATATTTGCTTGCAGCTGTTTTGATTGTGTCAAGTATGGTAGTTGCAGTGGGGGTTAATAGACTTTTGCATTTATCAATTTCTTTTTGTACAATGCAATGTCTCTTCATCAAGTACACTCTTATGTACTCCAAACATGTAATTATAGGCTTGTCCCTTCCATGCTCTAGCTTAGAGTTGAATACTTCACACAAATTGTTTAAAAGACAATCTGAATGGGCTCTACCTGAGAAATGAGACCTAGCCCAATGAACTGGAGGAATCTTACTTAGCCATTCATGAGCCTCTGCACTGAAATCTTTGAACTCATCCATTGACCTTTCAAAGTGCCTAATGGTTGTATGTGTAGCACACCTCCATAAGTGATCTCTAAACTCTTCTCCCCTCCATTGCAACTTCATGTTTTCATGTATATGTCTCAAACACCATCTATGCTCTGCATTTGGAAACACTTTTGCTATTGCAGGTATTATGCCCTACATATAATGTAAATTATAGTTAGTATTGTTACAAGCTTTAAAAGATACTTATGTTATATGTATTATACCTTTTGTCTGTCAGGTACAAAAGTGAAGTTGCATGATGCATCCAAATCCAAATCATCACCAAGGCATTCTAAGAACCATGTCCATGAACTTGTTGTCTCAGCTTCCACAATTGCATAAGCTAGTGGATATATTCCATTGTTGGAATCAAGACCTACAGCTGTTAGAATTTGTCCAGGGTGTGGTCCTTTCAAGAAACATCCATCCAGTCCTAATAATTCCTTTTTTCCAGATTTGAACCCCAACTTAAGTGCTCCAAGACAAATGTATATCCTCTTGAAAATACGAGTTTGAACATCAGGATTTGGTTCATTACACACTTCTAACTTCACTGTTGTACCTGGGTTATTAGTTTGTAACTCCAAACAGTAATCTCTCAGCAAATTATATTGCCTTTCATAGTCACCATACAGTTGTTCCTTTGCAATCGATTTAGCCCTAAACACCTTCATTCTTGATATGCTTAATTCCAAATCCATTTGAAGCTCTTCTTGTAAGGCTGTTACTGGGATGCGAGGGTTGGAATCCACTTTTTGGAGAATAGTGCTTGCAAGATATCTAGATGTACATGCCTTCACATTTCTACTTTGTAAGCATAAATGCTCATCAATAACTGTCTTCACCAACCATTGTTCCTCTTCCGTAGATCTAGATATCTGAATAGCAAAAGGACAAGAATCTTTTTGTGAAATTACAGTTTTGCCCTTCGATGTGGCTTTACTTACAGTGGAGGGCCCACCATCAGTGGAATCTGGAACCACCCCTTTACACTTGACTCTTACTCTCAATTTTTCATTTTTTGCCATGTATAGGCCCCTCCTTGTTTTTATTGAAAGCATCTTCACGTGACCTTGTATATCTTTTTTGGTTTTAAAAGCTTGACCCACAAAAAATGGTGTAACATGAACTACCCCGGAAGAACAAGGCACCTTCTTGTTCAGTTTTTTTAACATTCTCTTCCTTAGGTCTTCCTCATATCTTGCACTTTCAAACTCATCATTGTTGATCACACCTAAATCATCATCTTGATTTAAATCTAATTCTATGTTTGGACCTTGTCCAAACCATTCAACCTCATCCACACAACTGTGAAACTCTCTCATATCAACCTCCCAGTCATCTAAAATAGCTTCTGGGTCAACAATGTAGTCAGAATCATCATCTTCTTCTGTATGCTCTTCTGAATCATCTTTTGAAACCTCTGCATGCCCTTCTTCATCTTCTTCATCTTGTTATTCTTCAGCTTCAACCTCTCTTTCAAACTCACCTATATTCTGATATCCATCACTACTAAAAGGTTCAAAATCATCTAGCATTTCCCTATGATTCTGGCAATTAATATCAACTGTAATTTCTTGCATTGTATCAGTTTCTTCTGGTACAGGGAAATACGAATCATCCTTAAACTCATTAACCATGTCTTGTTTGTTTGGCTCAAAAGGAACTAAGGACATGGAAAAATCATACACACCATCTTCTCTCTGAGCTTGATTAGCTGATTCTATAAGTGGGACATTCATGTCTAATTTCTTGCTACACGAACCAATTCCCTTCTTCTTAGGCCTAATCCTATTAAGCTCAGGAGAAGGATCATCATCCAGTTGCTCAATAACAACTTTACTTGGGGACATGAAGTAAGTATGAAGTCTTGTAGAACCATGTTCAACGTACACATTAATCACTCTGTTTTGAGGGACAAATTGAGTCATAGATATAACGTCTTGATCATTTCCTAGAGCCTTCAATCCAAAATCTAAGTCTAGATTAGGAATTCTATAATGATAGTACATTGTGTCATCCGCAGAATACCCTATCTCACGAATCATGTCATTTAGATCATGAACTGAAAAAAGATCAGTGTCAACAAAGTCATAGAATGCCAACCTTCCCTCAACGTACTTTCTTCCTGGGAACTTTGAAAAAAATCCACCATGATGTATTTTTAAAGTGAAGAAATTGTCATGACCATCTGAAAAAGAAAAATCATGAGCCTTGAATATATAAAACAAGAAACACCAAACAAAAGATGAAACAACTTACTGTAATCTTTATCAAGGTCGGGTGCAATCGTATGAGGACGACGTAAATTCCACATACAAAGTACCATTTTCAGTTGATAAAACCTAAAATCAGATGGGAGGGATGAAGGATGAAGATCGTCAAGATGATCAATAGGCTAAGGTGAAGAGGAGAAGAATGGGGTTTCTTGGATCTGCTTAATGAGGATAAGTTAATGACGTATCGTTGCCTAATCCATCTTAAATGAGCGCCAAATGTAAAAAGACGAATATACCCCCCAACTGAATGACCCCAGACGGCTGAAATTGACGGTGTTATGAAAAAGGACCTCCAATGCAACTTTTACAAACCACAATGGCCAAATGCATCAAAAAAATAGATAGGGACTAAGTTTGTTACTTTTGACAAACCACAGGGACCATTTTTGTAATTTTGTCTAGAAAGAATGTTTTAAAAAAAAATATTAAAAAAAGAGAAAACTACAATTAGCGGCGACACTTTTAGTGGCGACGGCAAGTATTAGCGGCGACTAGCTTATTAGCGGCAACATTACTCATTAGCGGCGACAGAGTCAATAGCGGCGAATTTTATCATTAGTGGCGACAAACTGATCAATAGCGACGTGACAGTACCGGCGACTCATTACCTGCGACATGTCGCCGCTATTAGTATTACCGACGACTTTTGGGACTTTTGCCGGCGACTTTTATCGCCGGTAATAACCTTTTTCCTTGTAGTGATAATAATAATAATATAGTTATAATCAATCTAATACTAAAAAAATCTAATTATAATTAAATCTCATAAGAAAATAACAATCAATAATAATTATATTTATAATATTAATAATATGCAATAATTATGATTATATTTAAATTAATAATAATATAACAATTAATATAAAATAATAGTAATAATAATAATATTTAAAGGAAATGGGGAAAGACAAAAATAAAAGAGAGGGAAAACCAAAAGAAAAGAAGGAAAAAGAATTTTAGTTTATGATTCCCGCACATTATGTTTCCTACAAAATTCCTATGCAATAGTAATATTAAATAGTAATTAACATCCCGTTGGTTTTTTTGTTGGAAAATTCCGACCCTTTTCCTACAAAAACTTTGGGGTGTCTAATTTTAAATATTATTTAATATTTCATCGGATTTTTGTTGGAAAATACCAGCTCTTTTCCTACGGAATATTTGAGGTATCTACTTAGGGCATCTATAATGTATTGAAATTTATAAAGTTGAATGGAGTGCAACATCATCATTCATTATTCCATACAAGTCTATTCCTTTTTATCCCAAAATGCGTTAAACTCTACAAGTTTAATAGAACATATTAAAAAAATATTTATTTAAATATTTAAAGACTTTCTTTTTTCCCATTGAAGAGTTTAATGACCATTGAACTCCAAATTTATTGAATGCCAAGGTGGCATTTCACAATGGTAGAGTTGTATCCATTAAATGACAAGTAGGTATGACACCTCATTCAACTCTTCCACTAAACTCTCCATTATAGATGATCTTAATTTTGTCGGTATTTTATAGGAATTTTGTTGGATTCCACTTTTATTGAAAGTTTGTCTTATATCTTTCCCATTGCACCATGATTAATAGATTTTATATAGCATGTGGTGCCTGCAATCTATGTGACTTGTGCCGAGATGATTAACAAATGAGTAGAAAGGTTAAAAAAGGAGAGGTCATGTTGTGAATTGGATGTGTGGCCTTATCTTCAAACTTTATCCAGCGATGCACGTACAACATTTGGTAGTAACTTTGAAGAAGGAAAGAGAATATTTGAACTACAACGTGAAGTAGCAGTGTTAGTCATAGACGCTATACAATCGATCTACATTCCTGGATCGGGCTGCTTATCTTTCCGAAAAATATTTTATTACATCGTATTTCTACTGATCAAGAGACGGTCTAATATAATTCAAACACAAATATTAGGTTTTTGCCAAAAAAAAAACAATAACAGGATAAAGAAAAATGACCAAGAAGCGAAGGCCACCATAAGGACTATCATTGACAAACGAATAATCGCAATGAAAGCTGGAGAAAGTAGTAAAGATGACTTGTTGGACATACTTTTGGATTCAAATTACAAAGCAATTAAACATGGGAATAAGAATTCTGGATTAACCATTGATGAAGTGAACGATGAGTGTAAGCTTTTCTACTTTGTTGGACAAGAGACCACTGGAATCTTACTAGTTTGGACTATGATTTTGTTGGCTCAACACACAAATTGGCAAGAGCGTGCCAGAAAAGAAGTTTCACAAGTATTTGGGCATGAAAAACCAGAAATAAATGGGTTGAATCGTTTATAAATTGTGAGCCTTTCCATACCTTAATAAAGTCATACATCCTCCTATGATTCCATATATTTGTTTCTCTCCAATTATGTTTTTCAGGTTAACATGATTCTACATGAGGTTCTTAGAATATAGCCACCAGCAGTAGGACTAGGACGAATGACACATGAGCAAACTAAATTAGGGGACATGACATTACCAGCTAGAACTTTCCTCCGGTTGCAGAATATGCTTATGCACCATGATCTTGATATATGGGGTGATGATGTGAGCGAGTTCAAGCCTGAAAGATTTTCTGAATTGAAGGTGTCTCGAAGGTGACCAAGGGACAAACATCATATCTCCCATTTGGTAGGGGTCCACGAATATGTGTTGGATTAAATTTTGCTTTGTTAGAAGCAAAAATGGCAGTCACCATGATTCCGCAACATTTTTGCTTTGATCTCTCGCCCTCATATTCGCATGGTCCGCATACCATTGTCACTCTTCAATCTCAGTTTGGGGCTCATTTGATTTTGCATCAACTCTGTCTTTGAGCACATGTTTCTTTTATTGTCCTTTGTTTATGTTGCATTGCAACTTTAATTACTCATACAAATAGACACTAAGTCATATTTATCGTTTATATCATAAAAATCCGATTTTGAGACTGATTTTTTTTAATCATAAATTAGACGCTCGTTTTACCAAATTTGTTACAACTCTGACCGCTTAACCGGTCAACCTTCATGATGGTGTGCACACTCGCTCCTTCCTATAGCTCATTGTCACATCACCATCGTGATTAGCCTTTAATGCTTAGTCTCCGTCTTAGGATATTGGCCTTAAACAAACAACCCATATTTCCTTCTTGATTCAGCATTAAATTAATCAACATTTTCAGGTCGATATGGGATCTAAAAGACGACACAAAGAAGTGACCATCGACATCTAGTGATATGCTACAGATTGCATGTGGTACAAAGTTATCTGGATGAAGCTCATGTGCCACTTGTGCAAGTTAAAGTTAGCTAGCCACGTTTGATTTTTGTTTTCTTCTACTAAACTTGTGAACCATCTTGACAAAGATAACGATAGAATCTTTTACTTGAGATTCGAACAACATTATCTGTATATAAAATTTTTGTGGACATACATACTCATACATATAGAACTTTAAGGAAAAGTCATGGGTGGAAATGATTTAAAATATTATTTTCTGATCTAAACAAGGGATTCAGATATATTATTTGATGTAGTACAGCCTCCAGTACTAGCTAGCAACATTCGGCCCTTCCCATTTTAGTCTTTCCACAGCAACCCTTCTTACAAAGGCTCCTACCTGGCATTGAACCGCATGGTATTGGTTTTGGTTTTGGTGATCCACCACTTCCACTACCACACCCGTCGGGTCCATCATTTTGTTGTATGGGGTCATAATCGCAATTTGTAGCTGCATACATCAATTTCAAATCTTTTTAATCTTTATGGAAGGACAAGTTGTATATGGACTCTTATATATTACTATAATTAAGGTAGTTTGATCAGAAAATCTGGAAATCGATTATGAATGGATTACAAATTAGCGATAGACAATTGATAGTAAATACACGAATGAAATAATTATAGTAAACAAAAGCAGAAGGCTATAACCGAACCTAGTTGGCGGACATGGTTGTATGGAGTCCGAGCAGTGGCGGTGGTTGTAATGATGTGAAATGATGAACTAATGACGATGAGGATGATAAGAGCCAAGGTAAGTCTTCCTCCTTTTAAGATTATGGCCATTTTTTTCAATGATTGAATGAATATATATATATATATATATATATATATATATATATATATATATATATGAATGTGTGAGTAACCATTTATATATGAATGATCTATTTATACACGATCATTCCCCAATGGTTTGTTCAAACATTGACCAATTGTTTTAGTCAACGATATAGTCCGAGTAAAGGAAATCGGTAAGAAAAGAGTGTGGCGCGCAGTTGTTACCTATAGCCGCCTAAGAAATCCTACCTTCTTGCTCATTTCCTGAACTTTGTCTGTGCAGTTTTGTCTTGACTTCCAACAAATGTTTGATCAAATATATTGGGGTGGTCATCTACTCATCTTCGTGCATGTATCACATATGGGTATTGCTAACATTTTTATTTATTTATTTATTAGCGAGACCCATATATTATATGGGTTAATTTAAAAAATAATTAAATATAAAGGTTTAAATATTTGATAATTTTGAATTAATAATAAAATAAGAAAAATAAAAAATTATTATAATGGAAATGTTTTTTATCTTTTAAATTTAAACAAATAATTAAAATAAACAAACAAAATAAACTAATGAGATTTAATTTGGAAATTTTAAAATAAGAAAGTAAGCCCATTAATGAAATTAATATTTATTTATTATTATATTTATTATAATTATTATATTAAAGTATTATGTGGAATTTATTAAAATAGAAAAATCCATAAAATGACATGTGGAAAAAAATTAATTCAAAATAACCACAAAATAACATTTGGCAAATTGAATGAGAATGTGACATGTGGCAAAAAAAACTTTCATTTATTAGAGTAGACTAGATGTAAGACCCGTATATTATACGAGTTTTATAAAAAATTAATATAAATCGTTAATAATTACATATTTTTTAGTATTAATTTTGCATAAATACAAAATTCTATAATAAATAAATTAACTATTTCAATATAAACAAAATAAAATAAAAAGGTACATATTTATAAAATGATGATGACAATAATGATGTAGACGTTAAACATGAATTAATTAAAACTTGCTACATATATAAAAATAAAATAATGAGTAAGTAGGTAAGATAATGTATAATAATAAAAACAAGAGAAAATGACAAAAATAGCCATTTACACTAATTGCATTACAAAAATAGCCAAAAAAAATCGAAATTACAAAATTAGCCAGCCATTTCACAGATGGAGATGTCCCATCTGCGAAATCAGCATCTCATCTGCGAATGTACAAGCACCTAAAGCACAGTTGTGCTTTAGGTGCTTGTACATTCGCAGATGAGATGTCCCATCTGCGAAATTGAAGTCTATCTGCGAAATGCCCATCTCTTTCACTATATAAACGTTTTTTTCTCCATTTTTCACCCTTCTCTACACAAAAACTCTCTCTATCTTTGGGCTTCTCTCGGGATTTTGGCTAGTTTTTGAAGAAAATAGAGGATTATGTCAACAATCCCGCAAATATGGTTAGATTTTAACTCTTTTAATGTTTAAACTTTTTATTTTATTTTATCATTTATTGTATTATTTAGTGTTAAAAAAGGGTAATTTTGTTGTGTTTGATAGTTTTAATATTTCTTTAGTATACTTGAAGTTTAAATGCTATTTTGTTAGTGTTTGTTTGAATGTACAAATAGAGACTGCATAGATAATGTTTACAATTTGTTATTTTTGTTGTTTGTTTAGTTGTTGTATAACCTGAAAACTTGTATATTCTTATCGTATAATTGTTTATATAAAATGAGAAATAGTTAAATTATAGTATGTGTAAAATAGTCGTTTGTATATATATTTGTCGTATAAGTATAACATTTGTATAAGTTGAAAATTTGTCGTATATATATTGTTAGAAATTGTTTGTGTTTGTCGTATAAGTTGAAAATTTGTATAAAGTGGTCGTATAACTTGCAAAATTGTTAATTTGGTTGTCGTTTTATTTGAAAAATTGTTTGTTTATATGGTTATAAAATGTTAGTTTTAGTTAGAAAGGTAAAAATTGTTTATATATTTGTCGTTTAAGTTGAAAATTTGTTTAAGTTGAAAATTTGTCGTTGATATATTTGTCATTTAAGTTGAAAATTTGTTTAATAAAATGTTTATATAATTATGTATGATATTGTTTTTTATCGTAAATATATTTGTTGTATAACTTGGAAATTTTTTTATATATGTGTATGTTATTGTTTTTTATCGGAAATATATATATATATTAGTAATTAAGAAATTGTATTTGCATTACTAATTGTTTATTTACTTATTGCAGTTCGTAATCATATATTTTAAAAACAAAATATTTTTTAGTTCTCTAATTTGTTTTTGTGTTTTTTTTGCAGCATGATTTTAGTTTTATCAATATGAAAGCCTTTGCGAACTTAAAAGGCTCGGGCGGTAACATATGGGAAGTATTTGAAGTTTTAGATGATGCCAGACGTGCCATTTTCAGAGATACCGTAATCATATATAACCAATTTTGTTTTTTTGTTTTGTTAGTTTCGCTTGGGGTAGCTATCTCCGGGATTTTACTTATGTTGACCTTGAGGATACATGGAACAAAATACATAATTATTTATCACTTTCTGAGTGTCGTCAAGCTTTAAAGTACTCCGTCTCAGGATTTACGGCTCCAATAAGGGTATAAATTTTTTCTTATATTTAAATTGTTTTATTGTTATGTTTTTTATTTTAATTTTAACTTTTATTACTATAATTGTAAAAAATTGTAGATATGGATATATGAGATGATTCCGGCTGTTCGTGCATGAGGATTTGTATTGAGAAAAAATAAAGACTTGCCTCGGATGAAACGATGGAGTGGAACAAAAAAATTGAAATGGATTGACGTGAACAAGATTTGGTCAAAGATACAGGTTTATAAATTTTTCGTTTATTATTAATAAACTTGATTATTATACTTTTATATACATTTTTAATATGTTTAATTTTTTAGGAGGGGCAACCACCAAGACAAAACATGTTACCGGGTGATGGTGAGATGACATCTTGTTATTATATGTCATTTCAAGAGTATGTATATGGTGAAGGGAAAGCAGTTCCATCCCCAGTACGGGACCATTTTAGGAGACAAGACGAATCTTCGTCTAGTATGTCGTCCGGTGGTCACTCTCATGGTAGAGGTCGGGGTAGTGGGAAACACAACGTAGACGAGGTGTTGAAACGGCTACATGTACTGGAGCAGCATGTGTTTATGAACCGACAACCTACAGAGGTTTTTGTTGAAGAAGTGAATACTGAACAATTTTGGAACGACATTAGTTTTGATGATCCGATAGTGTCACAAAGAAAATATGATGAATAGTTTAGTTACACGCTACATTATTTTTTAAATTTTATTAACATATATGAATACCTGTGTTCATATTTTATATTTGAAAATATAGGTTGTGCAAGATGAAGTGATGAATAAAAACAATACAATTGAAAATGTTTTTGGTGATATTCAAGACGACAAGGTTGTTATAGATATTACCTTTACAATTTTAATAATTACTTTTTAATAATGTGTATTTCGTTATTAAGTAAAAAGTTATATTTTTAAT